AAAATAGTTGTGGAGAGTGCAAGTGATGCTAGTTAGCAGAGTAAATAGGTTGATGATGCCATGGATGCAGTGTTGACAGGCATAGTTGAGTACATCAGTAAAAGTGTCGCATGCATGGTGTTGATGGTGTTATTGATGGGTGCAATGACATGGGTATTAGTGATATAACCATCAACATGTCTGACATTTTTGGTGAACATAGTTCAAAGAAGGGGATGATGGCATCAAAGACATGCCAGATCAATGAGGGTCTGGGATGTCATAAGTGAAAGTCGTTGGTTTGAAGTGGTATAAGCTAAAAGTGTTGAGCTTGCAGCCTATTCAACCTGTTAAACCTACACCTCAATACACATTATTGGAAAATCGGCTAAATCTATGCAAATATAGATATCTAAAAATAATGGACATATAAAAGATCAATTGCACAAATTTAATGTAGGATCACCTAGTTGATGGCTACAACATGCTGTATCTGCCATAAATTTTACTATTGATTCTGAGGAATTATAAACTTAATTTTTAAAAACAAACATTAGAGACAACTTCCCCTTACAAAGTAATAAAATAAAGCAATTAAAATATAATCAAATTCTTATAAAAAAAAATCTTGATGTAATAACAACAAATATCGATTTCATTTTACCTAAGACTAAAGTGTTTTCTTCATACGAAAAAAATAGACTAACCAACTTAACAACTGTTGGTGCCACATAATCTTTTTAAAATTGCTTGGCATCCTATGCCACTATGGTAAAATCATGGGAAGATTCCTCTCTATCTACTTTCCATCAATTCTCATAATGGAAAGAAGGTAATTACAGTTAAAAATGATCCAACATCTTTTTCCCTCACATAAGAGACTCTTTCAAAGCTCACAATCCATTACTAAAACCCGATATAACCCGAGGTGTAGTGATAAGGTCCTCATCTCTTGAAAAATCGACAGAAGAGATCATTATCTGAATAGCTACTTGCTGCAATGATGGGTCTTAAAAAAAGTTGAGAGTCCTGGGTAGGTTAAACATTAAGTGGACAATAGAGCAAGAAGCTCCTCATGCAAATCCCTAGGTGGGTTTACCACTATTTTCAATGCAGCGATTGCACAAGGAGCAATGAAAAAATCTAATCAATCAAAGGTCCCAAAGAGGGTTCAATATTGAGTGAATCCTAGAAGGGCGTAAGGTTCATTTATAGGTCCCTCACCCTTCTAAATCATCAAGATGAGCTCACAAATGACCAAACGCAATATAAATCGGTCCATATACATTCAAAATCTCCAAGAGAAACTCCTCATTAATTGAACCCAAAGAAGTGGCATTTAACAAAATGAAATGGTTCTAACAATCAATAGTAAACCCTAAGAGGGCATATGTTATGACCTTAGGATATTAAAGAGCCATCAATTTGGAACTTATCATCTTGAACCCCTAAGCAACTCCTCGCTTTGCAGCATCAAAATTGATATATCTAGCACCCTTGAGAGACAGCCAATATTGATGTTGAGTGATCATAGTAAAAAAATCTTTGACTGGCTTAATTGATCCAAGCAACACTTACGGACTTCTCATAAAAGTTTCACAAATAAGAGGCAACTATAAGGTTTTGTAATAACATATTTGATTAAGCATAGTTTTTTTAAAAATGTGTAATCTCAAAACCTCCATAAGAAGCTGATTATAGTCTAAATTGCCTCAATTTGACTAAACTGGAGAACAAATAGTCCAAATTTTGCTCAAACCACAATTGGATCGATAAAGTAAAATTAGGTATATTCACGCTAGAATCAATCAAACCAAAGTGGAATACGCTTACACAAAATAAACTTGATCATTATCGATTTCACAAAGGCCACATGAACCGACCAAATCAAGACAATTACCTCCATCAACCAACTATAGATTAGAGCAATGGCATGGAATCACCAACTTTTGTGAGCCCAAGCATTGGCACTCCATACCAACAAATCGGCCTCGATGTTCTAACCATTAGTGAGGAGCTCTTTAGCAATCTTGACTACCAATGAAATGCCCTCAGTCATCCATGGAAATTAAAGAATCCCTAAATCTTCTTCAATTTATTGTGGCCACTATGCTCCGCTTTGCCATTGAGATCTTTTCAAAACACTCTTCTCAGAAAGAGAGAAGATTATATATTTCTCTACAGGAGTGATGATGTTTATTTTTCAGTATCTTTGTGAAAAAGCTATATTCATCAAAATTTTTCCTACAAAAAAGTCGACCACATTTCTACATTATAAAACTGCTATTTGTTTTCTTTATCCTTTAATATCCACCATTCATCAATTAAAAGGGCGAAGTTCAAATGTTTTCTTTATCCTTTAATATCCACCATTCATCAAAAAGGGCGAAGTTCAACGCGAAGTTCAAGCTAAAGATGTCCAAATCGAGATATCTCAATCCCCACATGTACTTTTAAATCCTTTCCTTCAAGTCTCTTAAAGAGCCAAATAAACAGAGGCTTAATTTTGCATTAAGATCTCTCGACCAAATTAAGGAATGAATGATGGGTCCAAACAAAATTATTTGTAGCCTCCAAGCTTGATATTCATCACATTGTCGCCTCTAAACCCAGACCAATCTTGACCTCCATTACCAAGTACAACCCCACTTGCTTAGCCAAGCCATCTCTAAGAACACCCAATAACGGTCATATGCCTTCTCTCCCAATAACGGTCATATGCCTTATCTCATGAACCCTCTTTAGTTATCATAATTTAACCCAGATTAACCAAGGTCGGTCCACTACTGTTGCTGGTTATAGAATGCAAGACGCCATAAGTCGGATAAAATCGTCCAAATGATATCTCATCCTACTAATGAGATATATTATATTAGTTAAATCTTTATTATCTAAAGTAAATAAAAGGGATATGACAAGGAATCCAAAAGGGGATGCTCCATCCTAGTCAGACAATTTATCACTAATTTGATCGTCTGAAATGCTCACCGGGGTAAACCTCTAAAGTGTTCTAAAATCATTCTTTTAAGAAGGGGTATGTAATAAGTTCATTCATTTTGAATTTTAAAAATGGCATAGAAGTAACGAAGAAACATCAAAAGTGCAATTTGAAGGTGCTTCTGAAATTGGAGTTGCATAACTCGAACCACAATACTTGAGCCCAATGCTAATAAAATGAAATCATAATTGAGACTAAGGCTCGATTAAATTACCCAGCACTTGTCATTTATCGGCAATTCTCAATCATCCATTCTAGCAGATAAGAAGTAAATACACTCGATGTACTAGTTAAAACTAAATATTGTATGTACATAATCAAGCTCTAGGAAATGGGAATGATTCAAAAAATAATAAGGGAAATTCATGTGCATACCACATAACTTGTATTGATTTTCATATCTAGCACCCAAAAGCTGATATTTACACTTATAACAGCTTGGTGTCATAAACCTATGCATGAAAAGGTGTATTTCACGTTTAAAAAGATAGTGATAGAGGTATCTTTCATATGATGTTAAGGACAAGAGTCGTATGGATGTAATTTTGAATGTTTAAGCTTTAGATAAGTATACAGATTGGAATTGAAGTAATCATACAAACCAAATACCCACTAAGCATTTTAGGGCTCTTATAAGGTATTTGGGAAGCTGATTTCACCAGAATGTGGTTGTGGAATAGCGAGAGAAGGCTAGTAAGAGTGGTTGACGGTGTTTGGAAGAAATTGTGGGGATAAATCTGTTGATGCACAGCATCTGGCTGAAATCAGCAAGTTGGATGGTGAAATGGTGAAATATGGGTGGTGAGGAGGTTCCACCACCTGTTTCCTGAGCAAGATACAAATGCGTCACTTGCAAAAGAAAATGATACAACACTCCGAATAGCATAAATGGAGAACAAAATCTCCCAAAACATAACTCACTAACTAGTTGTCCGAAAACAGTAAATGCACACATATATAATCTTCTAATAGAAATTACTCTAATTACAAGAGAAATAAGAAAGGACCAAAAATGAAGAAAAAAAAGAAAACTTACTGAAAATAAAAGTACAAAAAAAGTCGTGATAAGTCGAAAATAGATATTCCCCGACTGCGGGAGTCAAGGACTGTGGAATTGCGAAAAAATTCCGAACTGCAAGAAAGTCTCACACCCCACACAACTTGAGATCGCGAGATCCTCAAATTGCGGAAATCCCGTGATCACAGAAAATCTTGCATCTGCATGAGACCAAACGCGGTTCCACCTCTCGCCTCCCCCGTTCCCCTCGCGTCCCACATTAATTTGAGTTAAAAACTGGTTTTTAGCAGCCAGAGTTCATATTAGAATGTTAACTGCAATAAATCAGATTTCATGAAATGTCAAGGGCCTGCAAGAAAGTCCAATTCTGAAATGTAGAACCTCAAATTCGCATGCAATTGTGAAGTTATGGGAGAAATATGGAGGAAAATAAATTAAGGGAAACAAAAAATAAAACATAAATCTACGGCAATGCGTCAAAGTAATCTGAAACCCCAGAAAATGGATTGAAATATGCATATACTTGATTATAAAGAAGGAAGATTTACATATATACCACTCAATTCCAGCATATTTGCATATAACACCTATACTTCAATTTTTAGGTCCATTTCAGCTTTTAAAAGTTGAAAGTGGTATTTTTAATGTGCTATGAAAGATTTGGGTGGTATAAATATAAAAAATAAAGTTTAGATGTTAGATAAGTAAACACATAGGAATTGGGTGTTATGTATGAAAAAGGCCCAAAGTAAAATTACTGCAGAGATCAAAAGCCTCGAACAGGCTAATGGAATTGGGCATATTTAGCATAAATCTTTAAACATTGAAAGCTGGTGAAGGAGAATTAAAATATTCAACCAAGGTTCGAAGGTTTTAAATTGCAATAGCAAGGAACTGAGTAATAAAAGAGTCACGTTTTTTAACAAGCTTTGATAAGCAGAGCAATTTTGCTGATATAGGACAAGGAGTTCAGAAAGAGAAGCTGAAAAGTATAACTTATACTTGCCAATGGATAAACTTCTTCTATAGGTGTTCCAGGTTTCAAAGCCACAGCTGGTCGCATGCCCCTCAACTTGATTCCTTGGATAAGTTCTTTCCAATTCTCTACATCATGGAAAGAAGAATTAGATCAATCAATGACGAGAAATCAAGAAAAACGAACAACATCAAAGCATACTTAAGGCCCGCTTGGTATCAATTTTATTTTATGTTTTTGTATTTGCTTTTTTTTTTAAGAGATGTTTATTTAATATATTGTTTGTATGTTTTTATATTCTATTTTTAAAAATTAAATCAACTCGTTCTTAAAAATACTCAAAACAACTTCTGTGCTTTTAAAAAACATTCTTGCAATCAAACATATTTTATTGTGAATCAAAACATAAACAAAATAAAATAAAATTGAAAAATAAATAAATAAAAGTGAACAGCTCCTTTACAAACCAAGCTCAAAAGTGCATAATACCACCAACAAACATAAAGTTTAAGCTGGTATTAAAAAAAAAAAAACAAAGATGATACCCACCTTTGGAAACTTCAATGTGAAATGTAAAGCCTGAAGCGCCAGCCTTAGCTAAGGGCTCCACATAGTCTATGGGATTTGTCACCATAAGATGGCAGTCCAAATACGCCCTTTAAAGAATCAAAAATGAAAATTTTAATGTTTATTAATTTATGAAATATGCCAATCCTAAAAACATAAGATGCAAATAAAGCGTAGTACTTTGTATGCTTTCGCAAACTTTCAATGACTGGAGCTCCAATGGTTAGATTTGGAACAAAATGCCTGAGAGAGAAAAAAAAAAAAAAAAGCAGAAGGCCATGTGATCCGCTTTCTAAAAAACAGTTATTTGAATAATAAACCTCTAAAAATTCCTTACTACGAAGACAGAGATGGAGGTCACTTTTTTGGGTTTAAATTTACTGCTAATTAAGAAAATTAGTTTAATTTCAACTAGTACAGAAAGAATTTCAACATCAACAGCTTGAATTATTAAAGAACACATGGGTGTTATGCTTCAATAAGCTGAGCAATTAATCCCATCATTCTAAAAAAATAATGAAATGGAATTTTCTCCTTTTATGGTCTGCAAACATAAATATAATGTTAAAACTACCATGGTACTGTTTTTAATTTATCATATTAGAGTACATAATATAGAAAAATGCATATTCTCCTGCACTGTTTATTTTGTATCTTCCAATTTATATAATCTTTTAACCCAATATCACATCATTAATTAATGCATTTAAGATATCAGTATATTTGCTAAAAATATACTATCTTATGCAATTTATATTTGGCTAATTATCTGACTTTTGAATGCACATAATATGTGAATATGATATACAAGTCATGAATGCTCTAGTTCATGAAAATGATATCTTCGCTTGGCATAGTGGAGTGGAAAGAAACCATAGTGCTTAACATTTAAAAATATTCAAGTCAAATGTATCTTAAGCAATGCCTACCACCAATAACTTAATTGAGACCTCCAAAATGGTTTAATGTTCAAGTCACAACCAAAAATAAATACATATAGCAGTAAGGAATAATAATCACTTTCACAAACAATACAAACTATAACTACCACGGAACATCTTGATATACTTCTCAAATTTCAAATTAAATATACTTTCGAGAGGGCTACAAACAAACCAATATGTTCAATAATGTTTTGATCGAATAAAGTAAAAGCTCAAAATAATCCCATGATTATCAATAGGTGGTAAATTTAGTCCCAAAAATTTGCAATGCTTCAATTTAATTTCCTGATTATTGAAAGTAATCAAAATCACAAAATATTTTTTTAAGGTTTCTTCTTCTTTTCTTATACTTTTAAATTTAAATTTAGGTTTTTTTTTATGAAAGCAAATGATTAAAAATATTTGTTAGGATTTTCTGGCAGCTGAAGTGGTGTCTGGAGAGACTTTCGTCTACAATTTTCATTGTTTAAAGGTAAAACTCAAATCCAAGATTTCTCTTTTCTATCATTTCAAGAATTTTGAAGTATTGGTTCAATTAAATCAAAGTTTATTTTACTTAAATATAAAAGAATATACAGTATATTTATTTAAAAATATCGCATAAATTGTATATTAAAGATAGCATTGTTCATGAAAAATAAGATAATTAAAAATTAAATACAATATATTAAATGCAGATAATTATAAATATTTTTATGATTTGACAATCTTATTAAGTATAAGAAATGGTAAAGATTATATGACTAAAATGTATCTGAACTTCAATTAAATTAACTATAATATGAAATTCTCTTAAATTTTATCTTATGAAATACTTAAATAAAATTCTCTTAAATTTTATCTTATGAAATACTTAAAAAAACCTTCTATTATTTTGATTTCATTAATAGAAGGTTTAATGTTTATACTTAAAAAAAATCTTAAAAATACTTAAAAAAACGTATTTTATCTTATGAAATGCGAGCTCTATATATTGATTTAATGTTTATAATTATTTTGATATTAGTATCATTTAGTAATGTAAAAGATATGCTTATTAGTAACTATCATAATTAGATATAAATAAATATTATTTAAGTTGAAAAAAAACCTTCGCAGAGTTAAGATTTTGATTTCATTAATTATAATAGAGGATAATTAGAAATAAATTGGGATCAAAATATTAATCTATTTATTGAAAAAAATAACTTAATTATCAAAGAGAGCAGTGAATGCAAATACATAGGAGTAACAATGAAAAGTAATTAAAGAGAAAATTATAAAGAACGATAATTTATCAAAAAAAGTGAAGAATTCGATTAACAGGGATTTGCATGAATCATAGATTTTATTATTATGTTTTATAAGTTCTCAGTGTCAAAGTAAGTAGTAGTAAAAAATTCAAGCTAGCAATTCGAAGATCACATAGTTTAAAATGATAACTGAGATGAATAATTGTATTTCTGAATTTCATTACTATCTTCTACTGTTGAACCTTATGCATTTAACTTATATATTTTTAATTCAAAATCTTCATATTCTTGTGACCTAGGAGCGTATCCCGCAGGTCAAGAAAGCAGGATTGCACCCCGCATGCGATCGATTCTGTGCAACCTGACCGTTCGCCTGAACCAAACCGGTCAGATTTTCTCCCTTCTGAGGAGTCAGTCGGTCCTTTTAGGCCACTCCTAGTCAGAAAGCAGGATTGCACCCCGCATGCGATCGATTCTGTGCAGCCTGCCTGAACCAAACCGGTCAGGTTTTCTCCCTTCTGAGGAGTCAGTTGGTCCTCTTAGGCCACTCCTACTTATCTTCTTATTATTATTCATGATGTTTTAGGTTTAGTTTTCCGTGTTTTTTGTTTAGGACAACCGCCAACGCATGTGTTGCTCCCTTTGAGAGTTGTATCTAAGGGATTCGGTGGTGCTCCGGTTCCATCTCTCTCCCGTTGTTTTGCTTTATGCATGTTTTTGTTTGACTGTTGTTTTCTTTCTTCTTCTCGTGTTTCCAGTACGTCTAGGGTGTGGGAGAGAAGATATACCTCTCAAAAGTAGATAATCGTTGTATCATGCTTCTTTTCCTTTGATTTTCGTAAGAACAATCCTTATTTGTGTTTCTTTCACCTATTCGTTGCCGTTTCGTTGTGATTTGTTCGCTGATTTTGGTTCTGAGACGTATCAAGAGACCATGACAGTTTGATCACCGGACTCAGGATTATAGGTTTAGGAACACCTACTCCAAAGGTAGCAATCACATAGTCTTACCTACTACGGAGTTCGAGATTACATGTGCTTTTACCAGCATAGAAGCATCAGGAGAACCAATCTTGGTGATGACAAAGGACCGCGTGACAGAGAGGTGGTTACAGCACAAGGCAACCTGTATAGAGAGAGTTTCAGGACATTGTCATTGACAACTTAGCACAAGAGTTGTCACCATTCGGGAATATTCTGATCACCATCACTTCAAATTGGGTTGAGTCAATCTGGGTTACTTTGGGAGGATTCAATAGTATATACATGACACGTAGACCCAGTTTAGTTTCGGTAGTGTATTCCTTAAAAATTGGACTGATATGGGTCTTTACTCGCAAGTGAGGAACGTTCATTAGGTGTTTTGGGTATCAGTGCAACAAGCTGTGGGATCTGGATGCTCATATCATAGCAAGTGAGGACCCTTCAACCCTGAGGGGTGACAACAACTCTGCCACCTTCAACGTGCTGACAGAAGCTTTGGTAAATGAAGTCGAAGCTCCTCTGACCCCGAAAGATTGACTTAGGAGTAGGATGCTCTCAATGCGCGATAGAACTATCGCAAGATTGCTTGGGCAGACTTGTATCTTCCAGTCCAAATAAACCATGGGTCGAGTGGTTGATCTGATTGCTAGTGGTTGCCGCCCATTTGTTGGAGGCCACTCCTCTTTACCCTAGGCTATATGTATGTATGTATGTATACATGTATATATATATATATATACATGTATACATACATACATACATATAGCCTAGGGTAAAGAGGAGTGGCCTCCAACAAATGGGCGGCAACCACTAGCAATCAGATCAACCACTCGACCCATGGTTTATTTGGACTGGAAGATACAAGTCTGCCCAAGCAATCTTGCGATAGTTCTATCGCGCATTGAGAGCATCCTACTCCTAAGTCAATCTTTCGGGGTCAGAGGAGCTTCGACTTCATTTACCAAAGCTTCTGTCAGCACGTTGAAGGTGGCAGAGTTGTTGTCACCCCTCAGAGTTGAAGGGTCTTCACTTGCTATGATATGAGCATCTAGATCCCACAGCTTGTTGCACTGATACCCAAAACACCTAATGAACGTTCCTCACTTGCGAGTAAAGACCCATATCGGTCCAATTTTTAAGGAATACACTACCGAAACTAAACAGGGTCTACGTGTCACGTATATACTATTGAATCCTCCCAAAATAACCCAGATTGACTCAACCCAATTTGAAGTGATGGTGATCAGAATATTCCCGAATGGTGACAACTCTTGTGCTAAGTTGTCAATGACAATGTCCTGAAACTCTCTCTATACAGGTTGCCTTGTGCTGTAACCACCTCTCTGTCACGCGGTCCTTTGTCATCACCAAGATTGGTTCTGCTGATGCTTCTATGCTGGTAAAAGCACATGTAATCTCGAACTCCGTAGTAGGTAAGACTATGTGATTGCTACCTTTGGAGTAGGTGTTCCTAAACCTATAATCCTGAGTCCGGTGATCAAACTGTCATGGTCTCTTGATACGTCTCAGAACCAAAATCAGCGAACAAATCACAACGAAACGGCAACGAATAGGTGAAAGAAACACAAATAAGGATTGTTCTTACGAAAATCAAAGGAAAAGAAGCATGATACAACGATTATCTACTTTTGAGAGGTATATCTTCTCTCCCACACCCTAGACGTCGTTGGAAAAGAAGAAGAAAGTAAACAACAGTCAAACAAAAACATGCATAAAGCAAAACAAATCTTAGGTTATCCCTCTTAATAGAATCCACCACCTACATTTCAAAAACTTTCCTTGCCAACTTTTCCTCAAAACTCCTTTAATTTGCCCTCATTGAACACGTGATTATGGCCTTAATGGACCCCACTCTCTCAAGGTTCGCTTCTACAGCCACCTTGCCCGCTCCGCTTCTTCACGAGGCTCAGACCGACCCGCCAGTAAGCTAGTTGGTTGTGTGATTTCCGACCAGTCTAAGGTGGACCGACACTGTTCTGGCTGTAACATCTAACAAAATGTGATTGATATTCATTGGCACTATGTGACGCCACACCTGATCCTATAGTCGTTTCCCAATCGAAAGTTTGACGAGATAACTCCTATCAATGTTGACACTGTTCTCCTTCAACCACGTTATGTAAGACCGTTGAAAATGTCTCTGAGTCATGAGGCTCAATTTATCCACTATCTATATTGGCACTGCATTCTTAATGCTCCCTCCAATGATGAGACAGCATAACATTCATTTATCAATGCCTCAGGTGTAGAATATACTGTGGTAAAGTCACCATTGCTCCCTCGTATTCTCAGTATATAAGACCCTCACAACCACCAGCATCTCCCTCATCTGGTGGGATTCGGTACTCCTCACCCTGGTCTTCAGCTCACTTCCTAAACTGCCTCTGGGTCACTCACTTCCTCAATTGCTCTCTGTCCGGTGAAGGACACAACTCCGCTCATGGGGTAACTGGAAGCAACATGTCCAAAACCATGATATCTGAAACTAAGAATGTCAAAAATTGACATGACACGCCAACTCAACCAGAACCCGACTCAAAAAATCTTGGTTTGAGTTGACCCAAATAATTTTTTGGGTAGGATTTTAGTTAAAGATCTTAACCAATTTAGTTTTTGGGTCGAGTTCGAGTTGACCTGCCAAGCCTAAATTGACTTGAAATCGCACTATTAATCCAGAATTGGCCCAAAATTGACTCAAAATTGGCCCAAACTAATTCAATTTTAACCGAAATAAAGATTGTAACTTATGTTAAACCGGTTATACGGGTCAGATTCGGAATGACGGGTTAAATACGGATTGAAATTTTCGACCCATATAATATTTGGGTCGGGTTTAGGTCAAACATATTCTAGTAGGGTCAATTTCAGATCAAACTTAAACCAGACCCGCTAACCCGAATTAACAACCCTATCTAAAGTATTTCCTAGTCGGGACAGTAGTAGGCATGTTACTCTTCTCAGACTTCTTCCCACTTAGAGTGGCTATGACTTGTTGCTGACCGGTCTACACCACTCTGAGGCATGCTCCTCTTGAAGTCTCCAACTATGGGTGGTTGTTTGATTGGTAGTGATTGCATGTTCTGCTTCTGAGTTTCTCCACTTTTAGTGCTAAGATCAGCACATCCCTCGATGTCCAATAGAAAAAGATTGCATGAAAGTAAATGAGACTGAGAAAGAGAAGCTCAAAACTTGCCTTGAAGATATTCGTAGGGTCTCTCTAACTGCAGATGTTGAACCTCAAATCAAACCATATGATATATATATCTCACTGCTCATTACATTGATTCATCATAAAAATTGAAAGATGTAATTATTAATTTTATTGATTTAGAGCCTCTACATATCGTACTTACATATGTGATATTATTTATGATTGTCTGATGGAGTGGAAGCTTCAAGATAAAGTTTCAACAATTACATTAGATAACCCAAGTAGCAATGATGTGGCTTCCAGTTCATTGAAATTAAATTTTCAATCATGAGAAAAATTGCATTTTTCATGGTATTTTTTTCATGTGAGATGTGCGCATATTCTCAATATTATGATCCAAAATGGGTTAAAAGAGGTTCATGATATCATTCACAGTATTAGAGAGTCAGCAAAGTATTAAAAACAACACCAGCAATGTAACATAAATTTATGGAAATGACTAAACAATCGAGAGTTCCAACAACAAGGTCCTTATCAATTAATGTTAAAACGAGATGGAACTCTACTTTTAATATGCTAGAGTCTGCCTTTATTTGTCATAAAGTTTTTCAACACTATACAGTAAGAGATAACAATCTTAAATTAGTTCAAGATATATTGTGGGAAATTTATGCAGATTATGTTGTTGACTCTATTATTTCTAGTTCAACAACTACTGTTTCCCAAGATGGATCATCCTCTACAATTGATTCCATGTTTTCTCTATATCAATTTGACCGTATGCTTGGATTTAAAGATATTATTGTGGCTTCTAGTTCTGTGGAACCATCCAAGCCTGATTTGTAAGTATATCTTGAAGAGGGATTGGTTGTGTGCAATGCATATATATTTGATGTGTTTGATTGGTGGAAGATGAATACACTTCAATATCCTTGACCCTCAACTATGGCTCGAGATATTTTATCAATAATCATAATTACAAATGCCTCAAAAATCTGTTTTTAGTACTAGGGGTAGGGTATTGGATGATTATAAAAGTTTATCTACTAAAATCTTTAATGCATTAATTTGTGCATCATATAAGATCAGGTCTTCTCAAAAGAATATGAAAACACCTTTGGTAATCTTTTCAATCAATATAGTTTTTTTTATAATTTTATTCATTTCTATTACTAAATATTGAAAATCATTTTATGCAAGATTATTTTCAGACAAAGATATTAGAAGATGAGAAACTTAGTGCTCCGCTGCCAAATATTTGAAGTGAACTCTACGTCTTCATGGTCTTTTAGTTCTTCGGGAATTGAAACTTTCATACTTATTAAACTTATTATCAACTTGAACATTATTTATACTACATTTATTTCAGTTATTAACTAGTTATTATGTGTGCATAACTAGCTGCCTGATACTTTAATCATCCTAAATGAATGATCAATCCATGATTGATTACTTTACAACTAGCAATATTCTTCTAAACATTAGCAGGAAGAATGATATTTAACCTGAGACACACTGATGTACAGCAGAGCATGTGTTTGCGGCAAAATCACTTACCCATCCTGCAAGCAAATACCAAAGGAAATCAGAACATATGAGAGAAGGCACAAAGAAAGTTAACTTAAAGCTAATGCGGTTCATAAGAAGAAAAGAAACTCCAATATTCATTAAGCATCTTAAAAAGTACCTTGATATACATTAAAACATGCAGATTTTCAAAATGTTTTATCATTTTAAACAAACAGAATCTATAGAGCATTGCAAAGTCACAACAGAAACATTCTCAAGTATGTTCTAATGCACCATGTGCTAAGGAGCAGCAGGTGGAGTGCACTACCATTGTAACTACCTAGGGGTAATAAGTTCTTATGCTAAATATTCTACTAGAATATTCTGCTCTTATATACATATACTTTTCCCCTGTATTTGTTTGTGATATTAAGGAAGTTTCTGGGTGTGAATTCCTATTTCATCTTCCTACTTCATGGTCTCAGAGCAACGAACCCGATGATCGGATTCTCTTCAATCTTGAACTAGAAGTTTCTGGGTGTGAATTCCTATTTCATCTTCCTGCTTCATGGTATCAGAGCAACGCATGAAATCAGAGCAACGAACCCGACAATCGGATTCTCTTCAATCTCGAACTGAGGAGGCGACGGAGAAATCCAGATCTGCCGCCAATCATCCTCGAGAGCTTTAGATAATTACAGGAGAGTAAATGTTCGCACTTTATCTCTTCCTACTGGTGAGATTTTGATCGCCTTCTTCGCTACCGATTCTCTGCTTCGCTTGAATCTGTGTCGAGCTTGCTTATTGCAATGTCTACCCTTGATTCTTCCTTCCTAGAAACCCTACCAGCTAATGCCATACCCCCATCACTGAAATTTCTACTGAACAACCTGAAAATTTTCAACCAAGCCCCTCTAATAGCTGAGAATTACCACGTATGGCAAGCGCAACTCCTCAAAACCTCTTCAGCGAATGGCTTCCTGTGCTTCTTACAAGTGACCATTCCATGTCCACCTAAATATCTATCCTCCAATGAAGATACCCTAACTCCCAATCCTCAATACTCAAGTTGGATTCTAATTAATCAAAAATTGACTGCAGTACTGTTCTCAATGTTCTCTCCCTCAATTTTACCCTATGTACTTCAACTATCCACCACCGTTGAAACTTGGAGTACCTTAGCTAAGCGTCTCCCACAAACAAATAGATCGAGACTCATCCAGCTGAAAAATGAGCTTCATAACGTTTCAAAGAATACCCAATCCACGATCCAATATCTCTCTACCATCAAAACCCTCGTGGATAATATCTCAGTTGCAGGAGGGCATCTAGATCGTTAGGATATCATCCTATACACGCTAAATGGGCTACCATCGAACTACCAAGCATTCAAGATGGCGATTCTTACACAACTACAACCAATCTAGCTAGACGACTTCTATTCATTGTTGTGTAGTGAGAAAACTAACCAAGCGACGTATCAAAGCAAGTTGGGGTCTTTGGCTAACCCACAACTGGCTATGAATGCTTACCAAGAATGCTCGCACAACTCATCCCGTGGTTGTGGAAGAAATCAGCCCTCTACTTCTACAAGAGCTAAACCAAGCCGCACTTCAACCCGATCTTCAGTTGTGCACCACATATGCAACAATTTTGGTCACTCAGCTATGCAATGTTGGCATCGTTTGAATTTTGAATACATAACTACCAACAAGGCATTGCAAACCGAATCATCATGGGTTCTAGATTCCAGAGCTACATCTCACCTCACGGCAGACCTCAACCAACTTCAACTAGCTACACAAGCTGAAGGATCTGAACAAGTTTTTTTTTTTGGAAATGGTCAACCAATAGAGGTGAAGCACACAGGTAATGGTATTCTCCCTACACCAACCCGCAATCTTCGTCTTCCTTCCATATGCAATGTACCATCCCTCTTCCACAATTTACTCTCTGTTCATAAGCTCGTTGAAGATAATAATGATGTCATCATTTTTGATAAATCTGATTTTATTATCTTTGATCAACATACTCACTGAATCCTACTTTGTGGCCATAGCTCCAAGGGGCTTTACTTCATCCCTACTTCACAATGCCATTCATCTACTTCAATCACTCATCAAGCTTTGTCTACCTCCACCGAAATGTCTACATTGGAGCATAAAAGGCTTGGACACCCTCATCCGGATACTCTACATCATCTATCCAAGTCCCAACCGACACTTGGAATATCTTCTACTTTTTCTTTATATAATAGTAACAAATGTAGTAAGTGTCATAGACAACCATTTCCATCAAGTTTGACACATATATATTTATTTTAGTAACAAATGTAGTAAGTGTCATAGACAACCATTTTCATCAAGTTTGACACATATATTTATTTTTCCAACTTATACATTCCGATGTATGTGGTCCATCCCCAATCTTCTCAAATCAAAGTTCTCACTATTATGTGATTTTTATTGATGAGTGCTCTTTGTTGGTTATATCCACTCGAAGAAAAGTCTAAAATTTCCCAAATATGATTACAATTTTTACAAATGCTCGAGAATCAATTTGATGCTACCATTAAAATTTTATGATCTGATAATGGAACTGAATATGCCAACTATGAGCTCAAACAACCCTTTCACCAACAAGGAATTATGCACTGATTCTTGTGCCCATATACTACTCAACAAAATGGAGTGGTTGAACGTAAACACAACCATTTAATTGAGACTACAGAACCTTACTACATGACACATCTCTTCCACTCACATTTTATCTTGAAGCACTCCTAACCGTTGTTTATCTTACCAAACGTATTCCCCTAATATCCCTAATTGGCTTTCTCCTTATGAAATCCTATACAAGAAACCTCCTACATATGCTCATCTAAAATTGTTTGGTTGTCTATGCTATCCATGGTTGAAACCGATGGCACCTCATAAATTGGCATCACGCTCCACACCATGTAAATTTCTCGGTTACTCTCCAAACCACAAAGGCTCAAGTGCTATAACCCTCATACATCCAAACTTATCATCTCTCGTCATGTGGTTTTTCATGAAATCAACTTTCCACACAGTCAAGAGCCTTCCCCAAGCTCATCTTAAATCAATTCTTCATAATGTTGGGTTACCTTAAATCAATTCTTCAACTTTCCACACAGTCAAGAGCCCTCCACTGAACACACCGGTGTTGGGTTGTCGATGGACATAATGAACCAAATAGCATTCAAACGACTAAGCGGCACGCTATACGGCAAGGCTAGTAGCCCAAGGATCCAATCAAGAGTACGATATCAACTATTATGAAACATTTAGCCCAGTGGCAAAAATTTCTACTCTCCGAACTCTTTTGACAGTAGCTTTCAATAATCAATCGCATATCCTATAGTTTGATGTGTCAAATGCCTTCCTTCATGGCACCCTTCAGGAGACGATCTACATGAAACAACCAACTGGCTTTACAGATGCGCAATTCCCACTACATATGTGCTTACTCAAGAAAGCTTTATATGGCTTAAAATAATACCCTAGATAGTGGTACACCACCATATCAGAATTTTTAATCCAGTTGGACTTCATTGTGAGCAAGGTCGACCTTCTCTACTTATCCTCCGCAAGTCAGCAGGTAATATCTTCCTCCTCTTTTGTGTCGATGACATTCTGTTAATAGGAGATTGTATGGATACCATGAATGAATTGACCACCAAGCTCTCTAATAGCTTCCAAATCAAGCAAATTGGTGGATATTCATAAATTCTTGAGCATTGAAGTCTCCCGAACGGCACACTCAATGTTTTTGAGCCAACAATCATACCTTACCAACATCCTCCAAGAGATGGCAATGATGGTATGCAAATCAATCTCCACTCCTCTTCCAAGTAAGAAACTAGAGCGACCGGCCACTCAACCGCTTATGGAAAATCCAATGGAGATAGATGGGTTGTAGAGACCTACAATACCTTACAATTACCCGGCCATGTATCTCCTTCTCGGTGAATAAAATATGCCAACACATGCAAAAACCAACAATGCATCATTTCCATCAACTTAAACGGCTCCATCGCTACTTGCATGGTACACTTGAGTATGGAATTTCCATCACCCGTGGCAAGCTTACATTTCAAACATTTTTGGATGTGGATTGGGCAGGAGATGTGGACAACCAAAAGTCTACTACAGGGTTCTGCTCAATGCTGGGTAAGACACCTATTGCGTGGATAGTAAAGAAACAACAAACTGTTGCAAGGTCATCTACGGAGGCCAAATACTGGGCCTTGGCAGCAGCTACAGCAAACATTATATGGCTTCATCACCTGCTAATGGAGCTTGTTGTCCCTCAATCCCAACCGGCGAAACTATTTTGTGATAACATCTCGGCCACAACACTTGCTAACAACCCGGTCTTTCATGCTAAGACTAAGCACATTCCTACTCAAGACTAATCAGGTGACATCTTTACTAAAGCATTTAATAAACCCAAATTCAACTATTTTCGATCCAAGATCCAAGTTCTCTACAAGAACCGTCATCTTGAAGGGGGATCACAACAGAAATATTCTCAGGTATGTTCTAATGCACCTTGTACTAACTACTAAGGAGCAGCAGGTGGAGTGCACTACTATTGTAACTACCTAGGGGTAATTAGGTCTTATTGCTAAATATGCTATTAGAATATTTGCTCTTATATACATATACTTTTCCCCCGTATTTGTTTGTGAGGTTAATGAAGTTACTGGGTGCGAAATCCATTTTCATCTTCCAGCTTCACAAAGCTTCATCTCACATTCATAGAAGAGATGTTTCTTTTCTTGTTACATTTTAGATAGTAAATTACTAACAGCCACAAGACAAGAAGCTCCTCTGATTCCATGTACCAAATCCACCTGGTAACATTAACAGGTATATAAGACCACCATCAAACGTAAATATATATAGGAAGATTTACATAAATACCGCTCAATTCCTATGCATTTACATATCTAACACCTAAACTTCAGTTTTTGCATACATGCCAGCTTACATATGCATAAAAAGTGTAACTCACTTTTTAAAAGTTAAAATGGTGATGATTTTTATGTGATGTGAAAGATTTGGGTGGTATAAATGTAAGAAAGTAAAGTTTAGGCGTAAGATATGCAAATACATAGGAATTGGGTGGTATGTATGTTAATGCCCAAAATTTTACATACATTCTACCCAATTCTTATGTTTATATATATATAACACCAAAATTTTACTTTTTACATTTATACCACACAAATCTTTCATATCACATCAAAAATACCACCATTTTAAAATTTAAAAAGCCAATTACATCTTTTCATGTATAGGTAAGGTGGTATGTATGTAAAAAATGGAATTTTAGGCTTAGACGTGTAGATACATAGGAAATAAGTGGTATGGTATGTATGTAAATCTTACATTTTCATATATCTGAGTTTCCAAGCAACCAAGACATTGCTAAACAGTACAGTTCTTCAGCATAACCACCATTTTAGAAACGAACAATACCCAGAAGCGAGCATTTAGAATCAATAATCACGCAATCACGCTGCATTAAAAAGCCCTATAAATCCATTTAATGGATGGATAGCAGCACAGCATAAATTTACAATAAATCAAATGAATATTTACATACATACAACAAAATTACTATGAATTTACATATCAAACACAAAATGTTTGATGTTTAGGCTAGAAAACCTATATAGTTAAAAAATGAGCATAGAAAGACCATTTAGTTCCATTCAGAGGCAACTAATAATCAGTTCTTCGTACGCAACTAAAGCAGAAAACCCGAGCTGATCTCGCAGAAATAAAACCAAAGAAGCGGAGGAGATTATTACCATGATGTCCATGTGAAGCCAATCCGCGCCGAATCCTAACATCCGTTCTGCCTCCGAAGCCAGATTTGCGAAATCCGACGATAGCATCGACGGCGCAATCTTCGCAGTTGCCACCATCTCCCTCCCTTCTTACCTTCGAAAACTGAGGAGGTGAGTTTGGTCTTAGTTGGTAGGCCTCCCTCCTCGACCTCCCGTAAACAGACGTAGATGTAGGCCGGAGAAGACGACCGCGGTAGGTAGATGGTTGATAGCTCGGTCAAACTTTGTAGGAAATATGTTGAATGTTCGTACATCTAATTCGGGTAAAAATATTACATAAAGTAAAGTAAACTCCAAT